CTACATAGCATTAGCAAAGGAGAAGTACTCTTAAAGAGGAAAGGCAGATACAAAAGGAAGAAACCACAGTAATATGCCCTCCAGGAAGAGTGGTTATAAAACCTAAAACAAAAAAAAGTCTCAAAATAATTCCAAAGGCAAAGGGGCCACAGGGTCCACAGAGCAGAAAGGGGCCTTGGAACAAGCATTAGGGAGACTGGGTGGGCCCTGCAGAAGAAAAAGCTAGACATTTAACCCCCACCTCCACCCCATCACTCCTTGTGAACAGAGAATGTGCCTCTGAACAGTGAGGGATGATGACGCTTAGACGCTTAGGAGGAAAGACGCATTTTCAAGCTCAGAATAGCTGCTTCTGGCAAAGCCCACCTAAACAAAACAAAAATAGAAAAAACAAACAAACAAACAAGCAAGGACATAGACAATATAAAATAAAATGTCAGAAATAAGTTCAAACATGTTAGCAATTACAGTAAATATGAATGGGTTAAAAGTGTGTATTTAAAGGAGCAAATTAATTATAAAATATAAAAACCATTACAAAATACTTTATATCAGACACCGTATTAAGCCCTGGGGATGGGAGCACGAGACAGACACAATTACTTTATTGTCTGGGGGTGGGGGAGGCATTAAGCAAAGAATGACAGAACCACCATATAAGTCAAATATATGTGTGTAAATGGGTATGTGTTACATACTGGAAAAATAATGGATACCAAAAGAGGCAAGGACATTATCCTCGCAGAGTAAGTGGTCTATGGATACAGAAACAAATACTGATACAACAATGTTCATTTACTCAAATATTTAATGAATCTTTATTATTTGCTAGGTATTGGGGACAAAATGGTAAGTTAGACAATTTATTAATAGGTATGAAAAGAGTTATAAAGCAAATATAGAGGACAGTGAGACTGTACAACAGGGTTCTGAACCTAGGATTCCCTGAATAAATGATGTTTGTGTTAAAACATAAACGATGATGAACTGCCCGAGTGGTGTGTTGGTTAAGAGTTGGCTTGGTTA